ATTCGGCTGATATCTGATATTTTGGCACTTCAGTTAGAATGTTTTCAGTCTCTCTTTCTCTTTTTTTTCTCTCTCTCTCTTTCCCTGCGTTTCTCTCTCTCTCTCTTCTCTCTGTTTCTCTTTATATTTTTCTTTCTCTCTGGTTATCCCTTTTCGATTTCTCTTACTTTCTCTCTCATTATTTCTCTCTATCTCACTCTTTTTCTCTCTGTATATATCATATTTTCTCTCTCTCGTTTTTTTCTCTATCTCTTTCTCTCTCACGTTTTCTCTCGCTTTCTCTTTTTCTCTATCTCTCATTATATGTGTGTTTGTGTGAATGTACAAGTATACATCCGATGGACATTTTAATAAACGGCGAGAAAGAATATGTGCGAAAAAGCGGAAAGTGTGTTGAAGGGTTGAAAATGTGTATTGTGTATTTGAATGATTATAAATAATTATGTGTAAATTCTCATCTGTCTGTGAACGTCATTGGCAATTAGCAAATCATGAAAAAAAGTCTCTTAATTGACTGTAATTAATAGTTTAGCAACATCCTAATCTCAATATATGGGAGGTGCAGCAATCGTGTCAACAGTTACGGATAAATGGGTAAGTATAGACATATAGTGAAACATATGAACACACTTATGTATACACAAAATACGTAAGTTCACAATGTCAGAGTATATATATATATATATATATATAATTATATAATATATATATATATATATATATATATATATATATATATATAGAGAGAGAGAGAGAGAGAAGAGAGAGAGAGATAGAGGAGAAAGAGAGAGTGACAGCCAAATACGGATAGATTGTAAAAGACTGGTAAACGCATCAGCTGATTAAATATATTATATATATATATATATATATATATATATATATATATATGTGTGTGTGTGTGAATATTTAATTCATACACATTTCGAATATGATATATATGAATATATATATATATATATATATATATATATATATATATATAATTCATACGCTAGTTAATTTACAATATTTATTCAATTGATGTCATTTACAATCTCTTCTATGAATGTTGTCCATTGTCTATATATCTATTGAGTCATTAAGTTATTTACGCTGTCTCTCCTCACCATATACACCATATATATATATATATATATATATATATATATATATATATATATATATATATATATATATGAATTCAATCAATAATAATAGTATGGCCTAGCAAACACAATTTGTCGATCTAAAAGTGCTCAATTTAATTTAAAATGGATTAAATTGCAAAGTCAAATAAAATATGAAATAAAAAAATAAGAGTGAATTAAACTTGCAGACAAACTATAATAGTTTTGCCGTTATTGACGCTAATTACCTACTTTTCTACGCAGCTAGAACGTGACACAAGATTGTTTTTAATGTGGGTTGACCATGCGCATACATATGGGTCAAGGACAAAAATTGCAATGTTCTATTACCCCTATCACGCTAGCGTCGGTATTCTTTAGTGTAATATGGAGGTTCTGCTGCAGGGTAGAATCTCCGGGACCAAGCATTCCTCATTGATTTCCCTGAACTGACCGGAAACAGAATCACGGCAGAGAGTAAAGAACATATACTCCCAGTCCCATGTCGTAGTCTAAGAATAGTATTGGTAATATTAGCTTTTTCCTTATAAGGAAACAGTCAGTATTCATTGACCGAGTTATGAATCAAGTCCAATAACTTTTATTGCCCTTTCTACTACTGATGAGAGATTACTTTCTAACCTAATATTCGTGTGGAATACCAGCATCTTGAGTATGGCATTATTTTTTCTTCAAGTTACATGTTCTTTCTATTTTAGCTGTTGTTGTTGTTGAAAGTTCTCAAACGATGTAGTTTCTGTTATTTGCTATTGTTCTTTGTGGTTCTGTAGTACCAGGCTAAAAGTCTCGAAGAAATATGGTTCTCGCTAAGTCCTACGGGTCTATTCGCACAAAACCATTTGTAACCATTGATCTGGAAAAAAAACAGTTGGAAAACAGTTGGCACTTGAGACAGTTTTGAACAAGTTTGACACCATGCATACCATCCATAAGTAAGTCTTGATCTAACGAATCTGTTTGAATGCATGCATCGAGTGAATGCCTGCACCTTTCACTTTTTTATCTAATAATTTATATTCTTCTTTAAACATCGCTATACTAGTTTTCCATCCTAGCATAACTGGCAGTTACCGGATCACATTTGAAAACTTTTGCTTTCTATCTTTATGTCAAGGCTTCGTTTTAGGTGTTTCCTTTTTCTTTCATTTTGGAGCTCTTGTTTATTTCAATTTGAAGTGGCAATTGTCCTCCTAGTGTTTTTTTTATTTCGGTTTCTATTTTTCTTTCTAGACTGGCATTTTTCTTTTTCGTTGTGCTTTTATATTTTTCATCTATTGTTTCTGTGATCATTACCGAGGCTGCGTATATAAGATGATTCATTTCTGTCAGGTTCATCGGTCTTTACATTTCATCCTTTATTTTTCTAATTGCTTGGTTAGCAAAGTTGATGGTTTCCTTCACTTGACTGTTCTTTCTTACTTTTGGAATTGTCAACCTTTCCTTGAAAAACATTTACTTTACATTCTCCCATTTATAACGGATGTTTTTTATCATATCTTTTTCTCTCATATTCGTTATTATCTTACTCTATTTGCTCGTGTACCTCAGAGGGATTATTACAACTTTTTTCTATTGGTTAATCTGGATTTGTCTCCTCTGGGTTGTTGTCATTTAACCACTTGATGTTATTTTCGAGTTCTATGTCTAGTATTCTTTTTTCCTGATGATGTCACGCCTGACATTGACTAGTTTGTTGACATCGATGCTTAGTCTGCTTGAGGGGTGTTTTTTTCGCCAGATATTATAGGTGGCTTTGGTTGTTGGTATTATTGTCGGATTTAACATAGCGGTGTAAAAAGCTATCATTACTTCCATATACTATTTCCTAGATCATTTATTTATTGTTCTTTTTGTGCGATTTTCTTTTAATGTGTATAGAGTGCTTCGAACCCAGCTTGGACCCTCACTGAGGATCGTGATCCTTGTTGACACACGTGATGACCGATGCGGTTTAGCAATATTTTTCGTTGCGTCAGAATTATAGTTAGTTCGTATTTACCCACACGTGGGTGCTGGTTCGTGGGTACCAGAGCATATCTATACTATGGAGGGTCATTATGTTCAGGGGGCCAGGCCTCCTCCTGCTATTTTTTTTTTTTTTTTTACTATTGCTATTATTGACAACAGCGGTAAAATCTTCGTTTATAAGCGTTTGGAGACACAACGCAGACTCTGACATAACTTTGACTTTTTTCTCTCTTAAATAATTTGAAACTATATACAAATCTCCCTAATCTCTCTTACACGAATATATTTTACTCATAAATCCAGTTAATATACTGTTATTAATAATATTTAAAGAAAAGTTTATTATGAGTGTTTGTATTATATGGCTTATAAAATAAAAAATTGTATATAAATTACTAATAAATAAATAAATAAATACCTAACAAAAGAACATTAAAAAAATAACCCACAAGTCACTATCGCCACAATCACCACCACAACCATCATCATCACCACTACCACCACTACTACTATCGTATTCCTCTTTGTTTTTCTATCTATCTATCTATCTATCTATCTATCTATCTATCTATCTATCTATCTAATTTTGTTTATATCTATCTATCTATCTATCTATCTATCTATCTATCTATCTATCCAATACTTAAAGTCTGTGAATCGTGCGTACGTCGGCCGTCTGTTGCATAATGATTTAAGCTTGTTTTCACCTTTCTCTTTCCACCTCTCTATATATCACTTCTCTGTGATTATATATATTCCAGCTTTCTTTAAACAAACAATATTTTATATACTAAAAAAAATATTTTTGCCATATTTAAAAAAATATTTTCATGTGAATATGAAGAAAATTTTTAAGTTAATCCTTATTATTATTACTATTATTATTATTATTATTATTATTATTATTATTATTTCCTTTGATTTCCGTTGTACATACATTTCTTTCCGGGTCCCAAACAGAGACCTAAGGTCAGAAATGGCATCATTATATTTTACTGAACATTTTTGAAAAAAAAGAAAAGAAAAAAAAAAACTAGAATCACACACATAAATAAAGCTCTTCGTAATGTGCGATCTGTACTTGCGAATACATTTTTTGTGTATTTCTTTAAGGCATAGACTACAAAGAATCTCTTCAATGGGTCTATCGAAACCTTGACCAATCAATCCGAGGGTTCTAACTACAACTATTATTATTATTATTACTATTATTATGATGATTCAGTTTCTTTGCAATTATATATCGAAAGCGAATATATTAGAAATAGTGTTGTACGAAACTGGGTAAACGTAATTGTTCGGAAGCCGAAGACGGCTGCTCTCGCATGAAACCAAAAATCATTGCGAGAGAAGTTTTGCCTTACTCTATTCAGCCGCTGATCATATTGTGCGTTCGCCTACACACTGCAATTAAGGGACGCTCTGCATAGTTGCAGTAAAAACCACTGGTTGGTTCTGAGGGTGTTGAAGAAACGCCAATGCGCCTGACAAGGCGTCTGCAACAGGGATTAACTACCGACACAAGCAGAGGGCGTATTGGTGAACGAGCAGCTAGCCAATATTAAATGTAAATATATCTTTTCGCAATGACACACATATAACATACACGCGTACACACACATACATACAAACATATATATATATATATATATATATATATATATTGGAGAAAAGCTGCTAATCGATGCATTGCTGTATCTCATGATGCTAGTTTGAGTTCTAAAGAGCGAAGACACTGAAGCGTAGGTCGTGAGCAGAGGAAGGGGTTTTGCTTATCTTTGGCGTTGGTCGCATAAATACAGCTCGGACGTGCGGAAGTGATAGAAATCCCGAGTTAATCAGAGCTTCTCCATCAGATGCGGCTGAACAAACAGGTGTGATGGTTTGTGTGATTGAGTGGGGTTAAGGGATAGTAAAGACAGGCCGGGAGGGTGTCGCGCTGATCAGAATCGGGTGTATTGCTGGGTTAAGTTGGGTTTCCTCTCTCTCTCTCTCTCTCTCTCTCTCTCCGACGGTTGACGACGACAAACAATAGCCGCTTGGATAAACAGTTCGTGACCGACGAAGCGTGTGCAAAAGTCTGAGAGTGTGACGAAGAGAAGTTGGTTGGTTGGGCTGTTGAATTGGGAGGTGCGTGGTATGACTGTCCACTTGGCGGCCCCTGTCTGTGTGCCGTGCCACCCAACTTCATCCTACACAACTCGTTTGGTTTGAGATGATGCACCCTCCGGTTAGTTGAAACATTGTCCATCTTCCATTTATTGTACGCAACTCTCGACTAATTGAACTGCTCGATATTGGAGATATTGCCTATGAAAAACAATTGCCAATGTTCGAAGATCACAGTTAATGTAAAGAGTCTCCGCAAAGTTTATTGTAGACAAGGGATGTCGGAGAAGTGATGGCGATGGTAGTGAAAGGTTTATAAGGGGGGAGAATAGTGAGGGGGGGTCGTGTGTAGAAAACTCGAGGAGAATTCTAGGAATATATCTTGTTGAATAATAAAATGCTTACAGGTTTCTGTAATTACTCTGGGAGAAATGTTTTCTTTTAGCTAATTAGAAATATATATATATATATATATATATTGGAGGAAAGCTATATATATATATATATATATATATATATATATATATATATATATATATGTGTGTGTGTGTGTGTGTGTGTGTGTGTGTGCGTGTGTGTACGTGTATTAAAGAGAAAAGGAACCTCCTCCCCTAATTGTTTTTGGTTATAATGTGGATTTTTTAAATATATCTTATATATTTATATTTAAAAAATTCCACATTATAACCAAAAACGTTTGCGGCTTCTTTCTTCTCTTTAAAATATACACTTTTCTCTCGTTGAGACAACTATAACCTCTACTTTATATTATATATATATATAAGTGTGTGTGTATGTGTGTGTGTGTGTATGTGTGTGTGTGTGATGCTTCCAAATATTTTTTCGTGAGTTCTAAAGATAATGGGCGTGGGGGGATTGTTTGACATGAAAAAAATTCATTATACAAAAACCTAAACCTGTAATAAAAAATGAACATTATCCTATTTAGAGACTTTAATATTATGATAACCATTATATATATATATATATATATATATATATATATATGGGGGGAGTATATTTAGGCAACAAAAATTCCTCCAAATAAATTTTATTAAAATCAAGAGACGTGATCTGATGCATAACATTCCTTTGTGCAGTCTCGATTCATGTAACCGTTACACATAACATAATTTTGAACTAATTCGAATATCAGAACTACAAAATATAATAGGATATAGCCAACAAAATCTTGTTTACACTTTCAGCACCCAATTCTTGATAATAACTGAGAAAGTCGAAAATACTTTGTCCACAATTTTAATGTACAATGATGTGTTCGAAATTTGGAAGAATATAATAAAAAATGGAACATACATACCTTGTCGATTCAATTTAAGGAAGACACACTTTAATCTACGGACTTAAGTATAATAACGAGAAAATAATTCAGCTGTAGTTTCAACCAATTGTTACCTATAGACTCAGGTATAAATATCATCTTTATTTACTTATAGGCTAAGGCATAAACATGACTAATTTATGTCTATAGTCTCAAGTATAACCAATCTCTTTACCTATAGACATAAGTATAAATGCGACAAATACTTCATCGATAGATTCAATATATATATATATATATATATATATATATATATATATATATATTCCTGTCGTGTACCAACGGCTAAGGGGTTGATTAAAGTAACAGAAATAAAATACTGAGTAAATAAGAAGGAGAATGAAAAAACAGAAAAGTAAAAGAGAGAAAGAAAGAGAAAGAGATAGATAGAGAGAAGGAGAAAAAGAAATAAAATGAACGAGAAAGAGAGAAGAAAGAAGGAAAAAAGTGATAAAGTGTGAGGAAAAAAGAGAGGCAATAATGAATGAAGAAGAAAAAGAGAGAAAGAAAAAAGAAAGAGATAGAGAAAATACAAAAGAGAGATAAATAAAAGTTTAAAAGAGAGAGAGAGAGAGAGAGAGAGAGAGAGGGAGAGAGAGAGAATGAGATAGAAAAAGAGTGTAATTGTGTCGTGTGTAGAGGACAGAATTGGATATTGCAGCCTGAGTGTTGGGAACAGGACGGCACCATGAGTCAGAATGTAAATGAATGATTTGTTCAGAAAGTATGAAAGGTCGTAATGCAAAGACAACATTTTCGAGAACCACGTATTCTTTGCTTTAACTTAAATATGATCCTCTCCACCGTATTTACAACAGGTGTATTTTATCCCATGCTTAATATACACTGTCACATTTTATTTCAGATCATGTGTTATTGTTAGGGATGGATACGTTTAGTTTAAGGGTTATAGCTGCGAGAATCAGAAGCAAGAAATCGAGTTCAAATTCCAATCTACACAATGGTTTTGAAACAGGATTCATTTTACATTTATTGGCCGAACAGTTAATGTTAATGCTGCCTACTGAAAATTTCATAAATCTTTTTTTTTTATCAAAGCAGCTTTTTCAAGAAGTTAGATTATTTAAATCCACTGTTATAACCCTTTCTAGTACTGACATGATTTTGCTCCCAAGCCTTTTGTTGTTAGTAGTGTGGAAAGTTAACAGATTTCTCATTATTTTTCTTCTAGATCCATGTACAACCAATTTTTGTTGTTGCTTTGAAAGTGATGCTTTTCTGAAATGCATGGACCCATCTCATCTCCCCCGGCTTCGGGTTAAATACTAGAATAGTTTGGTCCCTCCAACGTTAGATAATAACCAATCTAGAAGGACAATTCTTAACTTAAACTGTAGAAAAAGCATCGGGAAACAATTTCACTATTTTTCACAAGAAATCATGGCGATTCACAGATTTTAAAGAATAATGGCTCTACGGAGAGCCATTATCGCTTGTCCTCAACTCCCCAGGACCTTTCTCAGTATCATCGGGTACAGAAGAAAAACTGTGGTCTGTGAATGCTTATCTTTTTAGTATATATTTTTGGTATATTCAAATTGAGCTTTCATTTAGAAGATACAATGGAATAGCTAAAAATGTTTTCCAAATGCTAAGCAAAGTGTTAAATGATTTTTCTTACGGCTTATCAACCCTTTGCAGTTTATTTAAAACCAGAAAATGCTTTGAGATTGTAAGAATTTTTTCTAAGATTATAATCGTTTAGTGATACAATTATTACTAATTAACCTATAGTTGTGGGGAGAAGAGCCGGGTTCATATCTTTCCCAAGTGTATTTACGCATATTTGAATATAACGAGGCCAACCGGAATTGGAACTCGGTTGTCTTTAAGAAAATGGAATAGCAAAAGAATAGTCTTTAAGAAACCGGGAAATTTGTTTGGAAACAAAGAAAACGGAACTGCTATATAATATCAATGTTCATTATTTTACACTATTTATATTATTCGGAGTATTGTCCTCACCTTTGTCGCCATATTTATTACAACGTTTCGGCCGGTGGTTGGAATGTCGAACTGAACCCTTTATTTTGCTCACTGGGGTAGACTCTTCTAGTTCCATGTGCCATGTTTAATGGATGTAAGTTATCAGTTATCTCCTGTTAATTCCCCTCTCCAAGTTCTCCACTGCCTTAACGGAGTATTGAACTCACACTCTTTGGGTTCTGTCACTGGATCTAACTAACGCGTTCATCCACTGTGTCATGTGTCCTTGAGGACATCTGTGTATGAATTTCTGGGTATTATAAACCTAATGTCTTCAGCAACCATTTTTTACCAGTGCTTATATTGCAATTTTTGCTGTTATCATTGCATGTTTTTTCTCTTCAGTGTGTTATTCATTTTGGTTGTGGTTGTCCTCAAGTAATCTGGAGTCTGTTATTTGGTTGAGTTCTTTGAGATTCTGGTGCCAAAAAAAAAATCTTCGAACCCATTTTCTGAGAAGATCTAAAGATCTACAGTGCATGGAAATTTAGGCATTTTCAAACGGGTACCTAAGGTATATCCAAAAATGCTTTTTGTTTTAGGTATCTTATTACAAAAAATTAATTCTTTACTTGATGGTTGGTATTCACACTAATTCAATCAAAACTGGTATTTTTTTTTTTGGTCTGCTATCGTCGAGAATGAAAACTTTTAAGGGAATTCATAGAAACCTTTAGAATTTCCTCTTCCTTATTTGACGCTTTTCATTAACGCTTTTTGTTTTGTGTATTGTTCGGCTAATGAAATTTAACAAATAAAACGATAATTACTGAAAATTATACGGAAAAAAATCAGGTTCATTGAACTAATATCAAAGGTCTTTCAGTTCAAGAAGAAATGAATAAATGTCGGCGAAAGAGCACCATTTCTATAGAATTCTTCAATGTTAGGGGCACGGTGATCCGATTTCTTTCTTTTATTACTGTAAGTGTTCTTCGATTCATTTTACTGTTGTTGTTATTATGATTATTGTTGCGCTTATTTTTCAAAAGAATAAAAAGGCTGTAAAGATCACTATAAAAAATATAAATAGTAACAAAAAATAAGCGCAGATATGGTTTTACTGGGCCCAGCCATCATGCAACGTTCGTTAAACGATAAATTCTAACAAATCAATCTTAGAAAAAAAGAAAAAGAAAAAAGCACGCGGTTAGAACTCAAGTCTTTTTTTTCCTCGATTTCAATAATTGGGTGGTAGTACTTGTTTGTTCAGAAGACAGATTCATAGGCAAAAGTGAAGTGTTACTGCTGCTTACGTATTATGGAGCGTGTCAATGGATTTTCTTAGGCTCACTGGGTGATTAGTGACGAGAATTTTATGGGTACGGTGTACGTTCGTGTATTGGATCATCGATCGAAGCATCCATATGGATTGACCCCTTATCGTCAACATCATTTATTCAGCCCTTTTTTTCTCTGCTGTGGTCACCACACTCCCCACCACACACATACACCAATCATTTTCTGTCTGATGCTGGCCTGACAGCCTCAGCCAATGTCATTACAGTCCGCCTCTTAATATCATCAAACGAAGACGTAGGTGGTCATCCCTGGCGCCGTTTATTCTCCACCGGGCCCAGCAGGATGTTCTTATTGAAGCCGCATCGTCGCATCCAAAGTAACGGAGCTTCTTTAGTGCCATCTGATCCCTCTTTACGTACCTTGTTTTGATGGCATCTAGCACCACCGATTGCCATCTACAATGTGTCAATCATTCAAGCGTATATACGCTCTCTATCAAACAATCTTTCTCATTCCCTCAATATACAGTTGACCCGACAATATTCATACCTTTAAAATATTTCTGATTTTTAAAAAAAATATTTTAATTAAGCGTTATCTGTCTATATTTCTGAGATGAGGTATTATGTACACTATTTATATTATTCGGACTATTGTCCTCATCACAACGTTTCGGCCTCAAGAACACATGGCACAGTGGATAAAGGTGTTTGTTAGATCCAGTGACATGGCCCAAAGAGTGTGAGTTCAATACCTGGTTAAGGCAGTGGATAACTTGAAGAGGGGAATTAATAGGAGATAACTGATAACTGGCATCCATTAGACATGGCACGTGGAACTAAAACAGTCTACCCCAGCGAGCGAAATAAAGGGTTATGTTCGACATTCCAACCACCTGAAGAAGGCCGGAGCGTACAACGGCCGGAGCGTACAACGGCCGAAACGTTGTGATAAATATGGCAACAAATATGAGGACAATAGTCCGAATAATGTAAATAGAAAGCGAATGCATTTTTTTCTGATCCGAACTGACATATTTTTTGTGATGTTAGACGCCCATTCGTGCTAGTTTTTGTTGGGTCAACGAATGATCGTTTATTACGTTTGTAATGCTCACTACTCAAGAATTGAGTCCATGCTCATTAAGGCCCAACTCCGATGGGTGAGGCATATTATCCGCATGGAGAAGCACCGCTTGCCAAGACGTCTGTTGTACGGAGAGCTCCTGCACGGCAAGACAAACAATGTTCGTCCAAAGAAGCGGTACAAAGACACTGTGAAAGTAAATGTCTAGTGGTGCAAGCTCGAACCCAAAGAACTAGAGGAGTGCGTCCGTGACCGACCACGTTGGCGAATCACAATCCATGCTGCTGCTGTTACCTTCGAGGATGCTCGAGACGAGAAACTCATCGATGCCAGCGATCAACGCCACAGGGCATCGTCAGCACTGATTGTGACAACAGTCTTTTAGTAACCCCACTGTTCCAGATTTTGCGCCTCCCGCTTGGGTTACGGAGCTACGTCCGAGTTCACAGATGAGATGCAGAAATTATAGGTCATCTTCGGATTCGACGGACAACCGATATATATATATATATATATATATATATATATATATATATATATATATATATATGTATGTATGTATGTATATATTACCAATTTGTTACTGGTAAGGATAATTTCAAGGACGATCTTAATCCAGAGAGAGAGCTTAAAATAATGAATTTTTTTTTCAATGGATTTCTTTATTAAAAGATTTTAGTCTTGAACGGAGAGCTCACATGTGGAAGTTCTCCAGCTTCTTGATGTGTCTGCGGTACAATGACCAACACTCACAACCATATAGTAGGAAGGGCAAAACCACTGCATTTTACGCTCTTAGCTTTGTAGTCAGCCGAATGTTGTGTCGACTGAGAAACTCTGTTGCGAAGTCTTCCTAATGCCTGACTTGCTTTGCTGATTAGGGCATCAATTTCTTTGTCCAAGGAGCCGTCCCGAGAGATGGTACTTCCCAGGTATTTGATCATCATTGGCAAGCTGTGTGCCATTGATGACGATGTGCCATTGATAACGTCCAAAGAAGCGGTACAATGACACTGTAAAGGGTAAATCTCCAGGGGTGCAAGCTGGAACCCAAAGAACTAGAGGGGGGCGCCAGTGATCGACCACGTTGACTAACCACAATTCATGATGCTGCTATCACTTTCGAGGATGCTCGACGCCAGAAGCTCACCGCTGCCAGAGATCAACACCAGAGGGCGCATCATCAGTGATTATTACAATAGACTTTCAGTGCTCCCACTGTTCCAGATTCTGCGATTCCAGCCTGGGGTTTGCGGAGCAACCCCGATTACACGGATGAGATGCGGAAACAATACGTCATCTTCGGATTCGAAGGAAAACTGATATATATATATATATATATATATATATATATATATATATATATATATATACATACATTGTGTCCATGCTAATTAAGGCCCAGAACCAGATGGGTGGCGCATGTCATCCGCATGGAGGAGTACCACCTGCCAAGACATCTACTGTACGGAGAGCTACTGTACGGCAAGATAATCAATGTCCATTCAAAGGAGCGTTAAAAAAGACATTGTGAAAGCAAATCTCCAGGGGTGCAAACTCGAACCCAAAGAACTAGAGGAGCGCCAGTGATAGACCACGTTGACGAACCACAATTCATGATGCTGCTATCTTTTTCGAGGATGCTCGACACAAGAAGCTAACCAATGCTAGAGATTAAAACCACAGGGCATCGTCAGCAGTGATTGTGACAATAGACCTTTAGTGCCCTCACTGTTCCAGACTCTGCACCTCCAGCTTGGGGTTGCGAAGCCACCTCCGATTTCAAGGATGAGAGGCAGATATGACATGTCACCTTCGGAATTGAAGGACAACTGACAATGTTCGTTGTAGTCGAGACTATGTAAATGCAGATACTAATAGTAATAACGCCTTCAAATAATAAATAGTAATCACCGAATAGTAATTCGTATAATGATCAGTATAGACAAATAATATAGTGGATAGTATAGAGAATAGTGATCACTTAGATGTCACGCTAATTCCTATTTATACGTTTCCTTTACGATCACGTGATCTACTTATTTAATAATGGAATCGTCCTTGTTTGTTCACTGGTGATCTGTGTTCAAGCTACAGTGTCGGCAACGACACTTTATTCCTATGCAACACATATAAAGAAAATAGTGGGAACAATACATGAAGAGCATGAATAATGTGTGACCGGCACCAGAAAATCCTAGATGAGTTGATCTGTGATGACCCTAAGAAATACTAAAATAAGTGTCACATCAGAACATCAAAAAGGTGTCTGAAAGGCCCTCATATAACCAGTAAGTGCAGAATCAGGCCTCACAGTATATCGATGGCTGCGTTTCGGTCAATCTACCTTGCGCCTTTCTTCTTATCTGTCGGTCCGAGTAACCTTCAAGGAATTTCGAACTGATCTTTTTATTTAATCCATTAGGGTAACTTGTTTTTGTTCCTCTCTCCATGTCTAGGGATATCCCATCTTATTCATTTTTTTAATACTGCACAGATAATACTTTCGAGTAATACTTTCCTAACCAAAAATCCACATTGGATCAAGAACAGCCATTAACGACATTATCAAAAGAAGTTTGGATGCAGCTGGGTTCCCTTCCCAAATCGAACCCGTAGGCCTCGACCGCGGTGATGGAAAGCGGCCGGATGGCATTACTATTTTCCCTTTTAAAATGGGGAAGTCGGTGATTTGGGTTGCGACCTGTGCGGATACATTTTCGGCCGATAATTTGATCAGGTCCGCGGTTGAGCCGGGATCCGTCGCCCGGGACGCAGAGATGAAAAAAATAGTTAAATATTCTTCTCTTGCTGATAGATTTTTTTTTTACTCCTGTGGCAGTGAAGACTTCAGGGGTTATTGGCCCTCGTTCGATGGCGTTCTTTCGGAGGATTGGCGCGATTGTGTCTCGATTAAGGGATGAGCCTCGCGAAACAGAGTGGCTCTTGCAGCGTATCTCACTGGCGATGGTTCGCGGTAATGCTTTCTCCATCATTGCGGCTGGCAAAGGATAGAAAAAAATTGTTTATAGTTACGTTGTTCTGGAACTGTCATCAGTGGTCAACTGAAGTTAAGACCATATTTCCATAGAGAAACAGATAACTGTTGATTTAGAATGAAATAAGAAAATAACAAAAAAAAAAAATGTCCATATATCAGAGAAATTTGCTATAAAAAGCCTATTTAACCCATAGTTGTCGGGAAAAGATTTCATGCCTTTTCTAAGAGAATTAGTGAATGTCAGAAGTTGAAATTAGCTCACCAATCCCCGCTTTCTGTGCTACCATACCTTCACATATAGTTTTTTTTTAAAAAAAGCGAGTTTTTGTTTCTTGTAAAAAAGTGATAAAAGCAGATGCACAAATGAGCAGAAAGCTGACACCGAGGCTCACCGATGCAGTTGTTATTCGAAAATTTTCTCGTTCATTCAAAAAGATTTATTGCAAACAAAAAAAATCATCGATATTGTAAGGAAGCATAGAGCAGGCAATAAAATATAAAATAATTAAAAACAGTCGAGAAACTCACAAATCACTAAAAAGAAATTATTTCTGGCCATGTTGGGTATTTTGCATAAATTCGCATGTCTACCCATAAATGAAGCCGCGCCTGCACAGTGGGAATGACGTTTAGTTTCTGTGTGTGCATTTATAACTAATAAGATACGTGATGACACCTCTTCGTCTAGCTGTAAAAGCTTGAAAGTTATCCTCTGTCTGTCTGCCAGTTCTAAACTTGAGCATCCAAGTTAATATCTACCTGTCTGCGAATAAATAAAATGATGAACCTTTCGTCACATCACTAGACCCGTAATTCCATTAGGGTCGTTAGGACACCAAATGTACTGCAGCCATAGACACAAGAATGGTGTGTCTTTGACAAACTTTCACGTTGCAGGCCGATAAACGTAATACAAACTATTAAATAAATAAAAGTGGTTCATCTTTTTCAAAGAAGAATTATATATATATATATTGGGTTGGTGAATAATTATCAGGCTTTTTTGTAGGCGAGTTATTTTTTTTTTTACTTTTTTAATAAAAATATCTTATTTTCAGGTTATAAAAATGCGTGTTGATAAAATTTAAAAATGTGTAAAAAACGCCTGATAATTATGCACCAAACCCCTATATATATATATATATATATATATATATATAACATTTACAGTTAAATTTCTATTTCTGACACGAAGACAGACGACAACCGATAACTTCGTCTGCCGAAATAGACAATTCCCCATATGAGGTGGTTTTGGATTTTATGGTTTATTAATTATTTGCTCTGTAATAATACATTGAGCTCTTTTTGTAGATCAGTTTTAATAT